TCAAGATAATAAAGAAAAATCTCAACCTTATCTCAAGGGTCTTAAAAAAATCAGTTAAAAACTCTGTTCCTCAATTCCTCCATCAGGAGAAATTTCATAACTTCTCAGCATGGGTTCATAAAACGGCGTTCGTGCATAACTTGTCATTTGAAATCTTTCATTATATTTGGCCACCAAGTGATACTGGTGTGGCCGTAGCAGTACTATTATTATTATTTGTCCGCTGGGTTCCTAGTGAAAAATAGAGATTCAGAAACGCGTCTCCATCCCACTCCGTTCTCCAAAATCTTTTGAAACTGACTCCAAGGCTGCTCACAAGCTCTCATTTCTTCCTCACACGATCTCCTCCATGTCACCCTCGCCTCAGACGCACAACTCGACATTTCGCACCCGGGTCCCACTCGAGTGCCTAGCCTGGCGCATAATGTCCCCGAATGGTCTTCGCAGTGCATACCCAATCCATCTCCACTCACTTCTGCATATTTGTTGGTTGGTTCGTTGCCAGCTAGCCAGAGTTCCTTGTTGCTTATTCTTTACGGCCATCCATCTGATCTTCAGTATCGAGTGAGCGTAGGTGTAGGTGACAGCTGTTGATGATGTATGTTTGTAGTTTGTTGGGAATGCTTTTCATGACACGCCAAGTTTCTGAACCAAATAGATGCACTGACTTGACACTGGTGTTGAAAATCCAGATGTTGTTGACGCTTTATACTGAGTGCAGTGCAGAAGGTCTCAACACCGGTTTCAGGCTAGTGAAGGAAGGCCTGTCTTGCTGTCTTCCCGATCGTGGCTGACTTTGACGTCCTCATCTGTGTCCCCACCTGTAGTTGAAACGATGCTGCCTAGGTAGGTGGGTAGGTGGAAGTGACAACTTGCTTGAGATTTCTCGCGTTGATGGTGATTAGTGCCTGTTGTCGTTGTTGTTGGTTGGGTACCTTCACCACCTCTGTCTCCTATACATTCACTTGAAGTCCCGTCTTCGCTGCCCTGCCCTACCCCACCCTGCCTCTTCTGTCAACTTGTTAGTTCTTGTCTGTACACCTTCGAGTTGGTGCGACACTAAACACAAGCCACCGAAAAAGTCCAAATCTTCTAGGTTCTTTTCCCCGGTCCAGCGTATCCCCCTCTTCTCGCTCCTCACTGTATGCTGCATCATCCGGTCTACTACAATTAGGAAGATCATGGGTGATAGTAGACAGCCTTGTCTTATCCCTGTCCCCTGTCTTCACTTCAAAGGCATCACTGAGCTTCCCATTGTGAATTACTTGGCATGTGGCATCTTCATATAGTTGCTGAATTAGATTGATAGAGGTTTGTGGTATTCGGTAGTGTTGAAGCAACTGCCAAATTACCTGTCGGTGGACGCAGTCGAAGGCCTTCGCAAAGTCGATGAAGTTGGGGTAAGGTGGAGAGTTGACTGGCATTCTATACTATGTTCTGTTATGATGCGTTGCGTAGAGTTGCAATTTGGTCCGCACATGATTTGTACTTTCTAAATCCATCCTGTTCTATTCGTATATTTGAATCCAGCGCATCCTTTAGTCTCTCTAGGATGATGCGGCTTAATATTTTGCTTGGGATGGACAGGAGTGGAGCGTGATTCCGCGCCAGCTCCTGCAAACGCTAAGGTCACCCTTCTTCTGGAGTGTAACAAGGTAGCCCTTGTTCCAATCAATAAGCAGGTACCTTCCCTTCCTCCCACACCTTCTGCAATAGTGGTGTAGTGTGAGCATGTCCGCTGTTGTCTCTGCGTCTGCTCTCAGTACTTCTGGCATGATTCCAACTGGTCCTGCTGCTTTCCCACACTTCAGTAGCTTTGTGGCGCTCACGACTTCGACTTTTGTTGAAGGATTTGTGTTGACTGGTAATTCTGTGACTGGGCTGCTGGTGGTATTTCTGGATGAAGTGCAGGTGGTTGTGATGGTCGATTCAAGAGCTTCTCGAAGTGGTCAGCCCATCGTTTCCTTTGTTTCTCTTCTTCGGTAGTTGGATTTCCTTCACCATCTTTTATTGGTTTCATTTGTGTTGATCTCTTCCCTACCAGAGAGTAACCTGGTTATTTGATACAATGTTGTCAGGTCTCTGCCTCTCCTACCGGCCGACAGCCTGTTCTGCTTCACTTGCCAGTGTTTTGTGGAAGAGTGTTTTGTGTTTGCGTGCATTCTGCTTCACTTCTTTGTCCAGTGTAGTGTTTTATACATTGTACTCAGTTCCTCCTCTCTTTGAGCATCCTTGCACTGGTTTATCTTCTGCTTCACCATCCTCCTCTTCTCTATCAGGTTCCATGTGTCCGTCGAGATCCACTCCTTATCTTCTTTCTTTCTAATACGATTATGCAGGTTTCTTTCCATATAGCTTCCACTGTTGATTGCAGTTGTCTGTAAAATTTCTCCCTCTTCTCTTCATCTGCATTATTTGTAGGTGCATAGCGTAGCATTGTAAGATTGTGACTTTCCTTCCTTTTCAGTTGGACCTTGCTGTTATGATCCTGCAGGAGGAGATTGGTTGCCAGTGTATGAGAGCCTGTGATACTCTTGGGTGTGGGACATCATGATAGTCACTGCCTCCATGTGCGCGTGGTTGTCGTCTGAGTGACAATATCGGAGTAGATTTTTGATTCTCCAGTTGACAGTTAGGAGAGTCCACTTCCATTCCATCTGCTTTCGCAAGTTCCTAACACTTCAATATGATACCTTCTCATCTCCTTTGCAATCTGATCAGCCTTGGTAGGTTCAAACATTGTGTGGACATTCCATGTCCCCACGTTTACTTTCGCTTTCATCGAGAGAAGAGAAGATACACCAGCCAACTGACTTCCTGAAGGCTTTCACCGATTCCTGCGAAAAATACTGTTTTCATTTTTTATATTTTGTTTGTGCTTTCAAGTTTCTTTAGCGGTTGGCTAATCATCAATGCAAAAGACACAATGAACATCCTTAACACTTTTGTTTAGACTGTAGACAATATCTTGATGTAAGTCAACGACTGCATCTATGGTATTCTTCCGGTGTTTGTAAGCAAACTGTTTCGGACTTGTGAAAACTACCAATGAACGCTCAAACACAAAGAAGAATAATTTCTCCACTGTCTTAGGAAAGTCCCCAGAGGATGAGTTAGGCACAAGTAAAACTGTGATCTCCTTCCAAGTAAGGGGTGTTGTGTTTTTGGAAAATGATACATTGAAGATATCTATAAGAGGGATGACATAAAATATCTGCACATTTTCTAAGTATAATACTAGAAACACCATCAGGACCTAAGCTTTGGGAGGGATTCAAGGATTTTAGACATTTGAATGCATCATATGTATTGAAACTTAGAAAGCAGCTATCCATTTGACTTTGGACATTAGGAAGGGTGAAATCAGCTTGCAGACGTATAAATGATTTGTTTAACGCGCAGACATCCGAACAGGATTCTTTTGTCATCTGGTTTCTACTACTAAGCTCTTTAAATAATTTCCATATATTAGAAGCGTTCTTACATGATAGAATCTTCTGGTTGTAAATAGTATTCAGACCTAATTAAACAGTTAAGTATTTTAACGCCGGGGTGATCTCTTGCCTTACACAACCTTTCATTTTCTCTCCATAGCTTCTTAAGATGGGGAGAGGAAAGCCCATTAAATCTCATTTAGATTGTTTCAGCAGGGCAGCAACTATCGACACGGAATCTGAGATAGTTTGTGATCTTAGTGATAGTATTGTCTAAAACTTCATCAGCAAATATGTCCCAGTCTGTTTCTATAAGCATACTTCTCAAAGGTAATAAATTCTCTTGTGAATAGCATCTGTAGTGAACTTTCTTGAAAAGGCATCCGAAAGCTTTCTTGTATAATTCGCTGTATACTTCAGGCGAAACATGTACAATACAGTGGTCTAAATTTAGCAGTGGAGCCCATTTACGGGCTTCATATATGCCAGGATCATTTGTAAATACTAAGTCTAGGGTGTTGTCAAGACGAGTAGAAAAGTTAACTACATTTTCGAGACCCAATTAGTTAAAACTTCCACAGACAAGGAGTTACCCAGAACCGGGACAGCAAACTCAGTGAATACATCAGAAAAAGTTGACAAATCTGAGAAACTGCAGTCAGGTGTGACATAAGTGTTTATTATATATTATATATATAGACGCTCAAATGTTGGGGACGACATTTGATGGTAATGCACTGGATGTTTTCGTTAGAGAAGCGGAAGCATACATAGTAGGAGGAGGACCAGGTTGCCTTGAGGAATGTTGCTACACCCCCACCACATTTTTCCTTGGAAAAGCCTCGATCTTGTTGACATAGTTTGAAACAATTCAGGAGAAATAAATTTTCGTCACACAGGTTATGAAGTCATGTTTCTTGCAGCATTATTACACCCGTATTCCGGAAGACGTTTGCGGATAAGAGTGGTTGAAGGTAATCAACCCTATTTGGCAACGACCTGCAGTTTGTGCTGAGTATTTCCGGAAGTCAGTTGATTTATGGTTATAAGCTTGAGATCCCGTTGTCATCCCCCGTGGTGCTTCTTCTTAATTCACCTATCAACTTGTAAAGCGATAGGTTGTAATGATTTTAAAAACTCGCGAGAGTATGTAGTATGATTGGTTGACATAACTAGATCAAAAACAATATAGAAATGAAAAATTCGATACAATGTATTCCGCGATAAAAAAGGTAGCCCAGAGTTAAAGCAGGCCGAGTTCGAGTTAAATCTTAGTAATCTAGAAAAGAAAGAAAACAACTTCATGAAGACATCGTACCAATAGATTAGTCTTAACCTGGATGCTGTTGCATTTGAAATAATAAATGATATAACTGCTGATCATTTAAAAGCATGGATCAGAAAAATGGGGAATTTCTGTGTGCACATCGACCAGTCTTAGTTAGATTCTCACTTACGATACAATTTCCAAACGACCAAAGATGAAAATGAAATTTACATGCTTTTATTAAGCTAAAAACTATATGAGTAGATAAAGTTAACAAGCAGCTCATGAGTTATTCACATTTAAACCTGCTCAGTCTTCAATGATGGATCTATCGGCATCACATCGTTCATCATTTGTCTCAGTTTCCTGAAAGAAAAGAAGTGATAATTGATGAAAACTGAAGAAAACTCTTACGATAATATCTGAGGGATTATACCACTCAAATGAACCAGAAAAATGCTTAATCTTTAAATATACGTAATTCATTATACAAAAAGGTATTTTGTACCTGCCGCTTCAATGGAAAAGATATTTGTGGTTGTGAACTTTTCTTTTGTTGAAGATAAGTAAGCAGTCAGTAAAAAGAACCCTCTCCAGTTAGGAGTATTGAAATCAGACCAAAGCAACTCTCACCACCTTATTTGAAAACCAAAAGTAAATCACCCAGAACGATTTGTTTTCTGTTCAATTCACTGTGAGGTCAATCACAATAAAGCAACGTAATCGAAGAAACAGGAACGTGAAATATTAGTTAATCAGATTCAACATACCTTTACACACTTTCGGGTTGATAAGCTAGGTCGGAATCAGATAAGATAGCTTGCTATAAGTGAAGTTGCATGAAAAGGAATGCCAGGTATGAACTAGTGGAATGTTTGTTAATTACAATGCAAGCTTAGAGGGAGACCGATTTCAACAAAATGAAGATATCCATCAAATTTGAATCATATACGCTTTGGATTCCACTGCATCAATATTCTAATATACAAAACAGGTCAAACACACCGCCCCTACTCCAAAACTTACTTTGTGATAACGCGAGAAGGGGAAAAGAATAAGAAAAGCATCAGGGTGGTTAGATAAAAACAAGTCATCAGTTGATAAAGTCAATGATAACCAATCTCCGTCATATGATTACTTGAGGGTTTGGAAAAGACTCTGAAGAATAACATAAATCAACATAAATGCATCAAAGTCGGAGATGTATTTTGTACACGATCTTAAAATCTTGTTTGAAATTTGTGAGTACATCATCTCGTTCAATTTCTATCCATCATAATACTGTATTATAATTGTTTGTTTTCTTTCCCTGTAGTGCTCTGAGCTCTCATAGTTTCAAATAAATGAATAATTCATCAAAAAACCCAGTTAATCAGTCATATGAGAGTTTTTACTGCACATCATAAATAACTACTGTAGTTTATGTATCGAATAACACAACCAGGTCAGGTAATCCTGTTGCATCCAAAAACATAAATTACTCAATCAAAGATTTGAAACCAACAGTCGAAAATACTATACTTTCAGTCGGACAACTTTTAAACAAATTAAGCTTGTTGCCGTTGTAGATATGCTTCCTAAACGAAAATACTGCATTGACATCCCGTCAAACAAACAACATATGTGAGTAGACAAGTAGATATCGCTCTCACAACTCCTACACCCGTTTACTTACGACTAATGAATAGTAACCAACTATAGACTGCCTGGATGATCATTGGAGGAGTTGTGTACGTAAGCATTTTTATGTACAAAATATGTTGACAAGATAACACGACTAACAACTACTAATTAGATAACAAATAGTTAATCAAAGATAACACAAAGGTCGTTAGGTAAATAATAAAGTCTTAATACAAGTGTAGGTGTTATACCTTCCTATTATATGACTACTTTATTCACCATGCAGAATGCTAAAATCGTAACTTAGTGCACATCCATTTCTGATCATTTATTAATTATCATAATGCTTCAGATCAAATGTTTACTTTGCTTTTTATTAGTATGTATTTTAACTATTCCAGTTAGATCAAATGGCTGTTTTTCTTTAAGCTAGTGAAATTCAGCTACTTTAGTACCAATGATAATCTGTATATACATACCGTTTAGTTCCCACTAATTCTGTACACATGCCATGTTTTTCTGACAAATAAAATTGTACAATCCTACAAAGATAATAATTTTACGAACAGAATGATTCTGGCGACTATGTGATATGATACGAAGAAAAAACAGCTAGAAACGCACAGGACTGTAACATATGTATACAAGAATACTAATCAGAAAACTTATTTCACAGCAGTAACTTTCATAGTGCATAGAGCCACATCCCTACGTGGATTGCTTAGAATTATATCATTGGTAACCAATGAGTTTCAAATGAATTTGATGAATATTCTTATTTTGTGATGAGTAAGTCACTAGAAAATTGATCATATCTTTATATATTAATGATGGTTCATGTCACCATGGAGTAAACATAAATATACTTCGTCAACTAGTTAACATTTTTCTGTTCTGATGTTCATTGGCTTAGGTTTTTTGACAATCACCACTAAAGGGAAGTGAGTAAATCAATATCAAATTCGCGGACATAATTATTCCAATTGGTGTGTAAGGGTTTCACAGTAGGTTTCCGTCACGAAACGGCATTAATTGGACAAGTTTTTTAGAAACTGAGAGGGTCAGACAGCTATTTCGTCCTCGTTTGAGACTACTTAGAAGTAAGTACCCAGAACCTGCTGAAGAATCAAACCCAGAGTCGTCAGGTTTTATGGTGATCACGTTACCATTCAACCACCGAGTTGAAATGCAGCGATGCATATTTCTCGCTTTCGATCAATTCCCGATATAATGAGACTATCTAACATAATCGGCGAATGTTTCTGAAAAAACTAAACCTAATCAACCTCAGACGCCACACATTCTTATTAAAATCCTACGGAATTCGCCACAAAGCAAGTTAGCAGTGTATACTACTGAGGAGTCTCAAATTACGAAGAAGCACCTATCCAGTGCTTACAGATTTTCAACGGTTTTCCAATAACTCCCATACTAGATTGTTTATTTGACGTAGCACACAGTGATACAATATAATTTACTTGATGACGTTTCGAGCAGAATTTATCGCTAATATTTAAATCATTCACTCAGATCTGAATATGAGTAATCAGTTCTGCTAGAAATGTCATCAAGTAAATTATACTGTATCACTGTGGGTTACGTCGAATAAACAATCTAATATGAATTTATATTCTATCACAATGCCAACGTTTTCTCCTTACATTTCCAATAATTTGTTTATTGGGTTAACTGGGACTGGTGATTATTTGACGAGGCATGAAAACAGTCCCTTTGCATACAAAGTTTATACATATATATCCGTTGAGTAACTACTACTAATGTAAAAGACATATTGACTATGCATTCTGTTTTGCTATCAAATTGCCAAATATGAGAAATGTAAACTGGTATCATGATGGTATTGAAACTACACCACTGATTAGTCACTGAAGAGTAACCGATTTCATGTTATCTCACCCTTAGTGCCGACCGAATTTTATCTTACATTTTGTAATGTGATCATCGAATTAAAAGACTCAGCATTACGGTGTACTTTGATTGGTGTTCGATGGTGGGAGGTATTCTACAGGAAGCCTTGAACTTAGGTTTTCGGTCTGTTAGTACCTGTCAGCAAAGCGTTTTTGTAACCTTTGTAACCTAGAGAGAATTGATATCCTTTTGCGTCAAAAAAATCCATTAGTGTAAATCTATAGCTAGGAAAAGAATCACAAAGCATGAAGGTCGAACTATTATAATAGTACTTTTTAAACATAAGTATAAGCCATAGTTATGGAAATTCTACCTTTTCTGAGGCAAAAAAGATACTGAGAGTAGATTTAGTATGACTGGAGGGGAAGTTGGTCGTGAACAATAGATCTTTGTATATGGAATGATTCGACAAAGAACCATTCACATAGGCAGTTTATAAGCGTTTATTTCAAAAGTCATGGGATTTATATTAAATCCGTTTATTCATATGAAAAGCTATAAAGTTGTTGGTTCACACTTTACACAACTGATAGGCAGAAGTTATGTTTTTCGATTTCAGATTGGTATTCAACATGAACTGACATCAGTTGGAGAATCATTTGAAACCTGCGAACACTGTATAGCCGTTTTGTCCTATTACGAGACTACTCAGCAAAGCGCGCCAACGATCCCGCCAGGAGTCGAACCCAGGGCCTTCAGGTTCCGAAAACGGAACGTTACTACTAAGTTACTGAGTGGAAATGATGTTAGGCTTGGTTGGCCCTACCGGTCAAGATTTCGCGTTGGAACTTCGTGAATCATCTCTTGAAGCTAGCTACCAATGTGAACTAGGTAAATTCAAGTTGGAGGTTTGTGGGAATTTGCTGATTGACTTCATCATAGACTGTCTGTGGAACCTGAAGGTCATAGGGTCGATCCCTGTCACGGTCATAGGTACGCACTGCCAGTAAGTCCCATGCTAGGACGGAACAGTTGTCCAGTGCTTCCAGATTTCCTATGTTTCTCCAACTGGTATCAGTCTACGATGAATAGCAACTTAAAATCAATGAATAAATCTGCGCAAACCTCCAAATCAAGTTAGATTTGTTGTTGAATGACGTAAATTCTGCAATATGTTAAGTCCGCATCTTTTAAAAACTCAATTAGTTCGACATTATTTCAAATTCTTGATAGACGATTTCTGTTTTCAAAAAAACACTGAACCCATTAAATACCAAACAATACTGCTTACTTATTCGGTTTTGAATCCATCATACGTGTGTAGAAGTGAATCTGAAATCATAAATTTGATAGAAACGAGTGCGACATGTAGTAAAACATGAAGATTCGCGCATTTCATTGCTAAACTGTATGCCTAAATAGAAATCAAAGGCTAAGAGAACATCAAACCATTGCCATTTTATTCTCGAATGATAAATATCCTAGTTTTTTCAAAAGATATCTTACCCAAAAGTATTTTTTCAAACGTCCTGTTCGACTCTACTACTGTACCATTCACTATTCAAAAATAAGAGTAAACTGTTTAGATTGTTATTTAGTCTTCTGGGAATAAAATAATCTACTACATTTTTGAAAGCTACTAAACATTGAGTTTATAATTCAAATTCATAAGAACTAGGTTTGGGTTTTTAAGTATGACAACAATACTGAGCCCTGTTTTATTCGTCTGCTGATCAGCGTTTGAGACGAGAAAGTGGTGACTAACCTTTCATGTCAACTGCGCATATGCGAAATCAGAATAATTTGCGAAATTAGTGATATGTTCAGACACAATTGTTAGTGAATTGGGTTCAACTGATGTCAAGTTATAACACCTCCCATAAGGAACCCATTCATAGTAGTAGGGAAGTATTATTATCATTTATTATTTTTCCCTTGGGTCCCTAGCAGAACATAGGACTTCAGTAGCACGTCTCCACTGCACTCTGTTCTCTGCAATCTTTTGAACCTGGCTCCACGACTGCCCAGAAGCTCTCATTTCTTCCTTATACGATCTCCTTCATGTCAACCTCGGATGCCCAACTCGTCATTTCCCCTTTAAGTTCCACTCGAGGGCCTGTCGCGTGATGTCCCCAATAGGGAAGTAACTATTTGTAATCGCATTCAACTAAACATAAAAGGTCCTTGCATAAAAGAAGACGTTTGCTAAACCCCAGCCGTTAGCATGATATAAACTTTGCGTCAGTTCTTTTTTAACTCTGTTTCCAAAAACAATAACTGGAATTGGGATAAGGAAATCACAAACAAATGTCAGGTTATTGTTCTTCATTTTAGGGATTTGATTTCCTTATTGTGAAATCGATTTTGATATTTATGTGTTTCATTGTAGAATCTTAAAGTCTAAACTTAAAACATTAAACACCAATTTATAATAAAAAGTTTATATAATCTTAAGAGAAATAGACTTGACTATTTAAAACTGGCATAATGCAATCAAATATTAAAGTGAGAACGTAGAATAGTGAAGAAACAAATGTTGTACAAATAAACTCCATGCATCAGTTGCACACTGTCATTATTAATTAGGACTTTTATCGGCTACGCCTGGTGCGTTATCAGCAAACAAAGCAATAAGAATACTGAAAGACCCTACTTAATAGTATGATTCTTAACCAATACGTTTATGCATAACTAAGAAATACATGATCATGGTAATTTAGTGTTAGGTTTCAAAAATGAAACTATGAACAATTTTATTAATTGAATCACCTCCTATATGCAGAATGAAATTTTCTTACAACAGTTGTTTTTTAATATTAGGCATGAATGATCAGTTCTCGGTTGACTGATTAAAAGGATGTCGATACTCATTTCAAGTTTATTAGGCCAGTGTGAACTCAGTCAAGTACAAGATAAATGTGTCATTTAGGCGCATACTTTTTAATTACATAACGGTGACAAAACCTCACAAGAGAAGAAACAGTCAGACAAACCAACTCAGAACATCACGTGAAAAAGCAACACTTTAAGTTCAATGAAGGATAAGTTTTACCGTGAACAGTCTAACCTCCTCTCGAAAGTCAAACGTTCAGACGTGGTGGTTGTTGCAGGTGACCTCAACGCACAGGTGGGTAGACTGAGTGAGGCAGAAAGGCACTTAGGTGGCACTTTCGGAATCCCGACTGAACGAACAGATAACGGTGATCGCCTACTACAACTGTGCTCAGATAACATCCTATTTTTAGATACCACAAATTTCAGACATAATAAAAACACTGTCTGACGTGGCATCTACCGAGCTCAACACAGCGATGGAGACAGACAGACAGACAGACCACACTGCTATCAGTCATCGCTGGAGAGGATCGGTGAAAGACTGCCACTCCTTCTGGAGTACGTGCTTGCATAGCGACCACGCGTTTGTCCGAGCACGTATATGCCTGCGTCTCAATGGACGTAAGAAAAATTTGGCAACAAAACCACTTCGAGTGCTGCTGGAAAACGGAAACACCAAAGCCGTGTTCAGTGAGAAGTTGGCTAGGCAGTTACCGAAGCAGAAGACCATCACTCATCCAGAAGAAGCTTGGTGCCATCTCCAGTCTGCTGTAAAAACAGCGCTGAAGACTGTAACCGACTCCAAAATAATGGCTAAACAGAGCCAGTGGATATCAGCAGCTTCTTCCGAACTAATGGATGCACATGAACGCATTCCTACAGGCTCTGAGTACAATGAAGAGGGAGTGCAACTGAAAAGTAGATTGAGAAAAAGTCTACGCAATGACTGCGAACAGTGGTGGGCAGCGAAGGCTAAAGAGAAGGGAAAGGCAGCGGCGATCGGTAACAGTAGACAGTTATTTAGACTTATTAAAGAGACTGGGGGGAAAAAGTCAACAACAGTTAGTGAGGCTATATCAAAGAAGGGTGGATCTGCGATTCACTCTCAGGGAGATGACTGGAACGATGAGCAGAACAATTCGAGGAACAGTTTAACTGGCCCCCAGTCACCATTGCGTTGCCTGTTATCCAGTCGGATCCTGAATGGAACATTGAGATAGGCCCCCCAAACACTAGCAGAAGTCGAGAAAGCAGTAGATAACCTGAAACTAGGAAGGACGGCAGGACCAGACGGGCTAACTCCTGACGTATACAAGGATGGTGGTAGAGTGCTCTTAGTCAAGTTAACGGAAGTGTTAGCCAGTATACGGGAATCAAATACGATCCCCTCTGACTGGTCTAAGTCACTCATCATCCCAGTCTTCAAGAAAAACGAGAAGTCCTCTTGTGATAAGCACATATGAATCAGCCTGACGAACATAATGTCCAAGATCCTAGGTTCTATAATTCTTCGACTCCTGATTGGAGCTCGGGAACAGCAAGCTCGAGAAAACCAGGCAGGCAGGCAGGCAGGCTTGAGACCCGGCCGTGGGTGTATCGACCAAATATTCACACTGCGCCAGGTCCTGGAACACAGGCACACTTACCGACACTCAACAATAGCTGTATTTCTCGATCTGAAGAAGGCATTCAACTCCGTTGATCGAGAAGTCTTATGACAATGTCTCTCACTGAAAGACATGCCTAGTAAGTTCATCACGTTATTGAAAGCTCGACTCTCTACTCGAACACTTGTTGGCATGTTAGAGCCTGTGGTGAGATGTCTGGGGAGCTATGCTCATTGAGTGGTATCCGTTAAGGGTGTCCACTATCTCCATTCTTATTCAATTTTATCATAGATATTCTTATGGAGGTCTCCCTCTCGTCACCTGACTACACTGAAGTTGACCTAATCACAGAAGAATTTTCGTTAGACTTAGAATATGCAGATGATATAGTCGTGTTAGGTGAAGACGCTGACAAGATGCAGAATCTCTGCACGGATATAAAAGGCTCGGCTAGCTTTCGCCAACTTACGCCACCTATGTTGCCGCCATGATATCCGATTGTCTATTAAGGGTCGCGTGTACTGCACAGCAGTCCGGTCTGTTCTTCTGTATGGCTGTGAAACATGGGCATTGAAGTTGGAAGACATGAGAAGGTTTCAGGTGTTTGGCCACCGTTGACTTCGTAGTATAGACCGTATTCCGTGGTGTCACCACGTGAGTAACGCAGGCGTCCGGTGTAGAGTTTTAAGGAGTAGAGGTAAATTAGTTGACACGGTCGTGAATCTTCATCGACTGAGATGGTTTGGACACGTGTTACGTGCATGCCTAGTCACCGTCTACCTCGTCACACAATGCTGACGGAAGTAGGTCCAGGTTGGTATCAATGTATGAAGTCTCTGACTGTTGGTTTGAGCCATGTAGGGAAGGCAATGCAGACTAGGTGATTGGGGTCCACGGGACAATAGGAACCAATGCTTGGAGCCTGTAGGCGATATGGCTGAGGACCGATATCAGTGGCGCAGATGTACCCACACACACATTATCCTCATCATAGCAACACTATACCGAATCTCACACTTTTCTCATTCTTCTTTTCTTTCTTTGAGTACTTTATATTTCTTTTGACTGCATTCTCTTATCTTCAGCCCTCACCTCACTACCTTTCTACTTGATATGGTGATATGAGGTGTGGCAACTCGGACCCTTACGCAGTAATGCCTGGTCCTACGTTGATATTGATGATGATTAGCTTAGTTTAAACACTGCTTCTTATTCCTTTATATGTGGTGAAGGCAGTACTGAAGAGATATTTAAGGTTATATCTCAGAACAAGTGTGATAAATTTTCAGGTATTATATTCTGCTTTCCAAAACCCTACAGTTTTTTGTTAGGTGATATAACACAATTCAAATTGAAGCATATTCCAGTAACTATGTTGATTTAAATGCTGTGAACCGTAATCTGTTTATATTGTTCGTTTAACACAAAAATGTTGCAGTAAAGGTATCAATAAATTAAACAGATTCTCCAAAACTAAGCCTAATCTATCGGACAGCCATGAAACATTTTAGCCGCGGAAACAATCGATTTCTTCATGTGACCGATACTCTGGTAACAGAAACAACCATGTTAAGTTCAAAACAAATATTGTAAGCGATCTTTTAGGTGACTTATATACAGATTATTTAGTTAAACATGGCAAGCACTGAGATTATGTCTACAACTTTACAAGTAGGTGTCCATGCTAGTTAATTCCTTCCGTGTTGACGTTTCAACCTATTGATTTTAATGGCAGAGCATTACCTAACACTGAGTTTAAGAAGTCGCATTTTGTTCGACAAGTATTAGTTGTTATCGTTATTTACCATAATTCTGGATGTTGATTTCTAAGATTGGTTACCTCTATAACCTGAATTTGCTAAGTTTCAGGCAGTATTTAAAACAGAAATA